GAACTAAATATTGTAATACTTTTTTTTTACCGTCTTATCACTAACAAAAATATTTTATACAACTTCTTCGCGGATTTGGTCAGTGGAGACAGCCAAATAAAAAAAGGACAAGGCCCGGCATATTCGAGACAGACCACTCGTGAAATTTTTTGTAATTTCCCATTTATCCTGCTCACGTGGGAAAATGCGAGGTCCTAATTGTAAGAAATTCTAGAGAAACGAGAATATTTTTGAATTATACGAGGAGTAGGCTACCGATTCTCAAGGCAGACAGACGTATTCCAATTTAGTTTCTCCACACAGCCAACACCCTTAGCCAAGAATGCCTAGAAATCAAAAATAAAAAACTGTGTTATGAAGTGCCGCTAAACAATTTTAAGAGATAAGAAAGGAAGACCTTGCGAAGACCGAAAAATTGAAGACATTTTATGTCCATCTAAATAAACAAAAAACAGAACAACATAAAATTTGATTTTATCTTGTTCTGTTTCTTGTATGATTTTAGAAAACAAAGTGTAATCTCTCTCTCCGCGACATAGATATACAGTAGAACCTCGATTATCCGGACTAATTGGGGATGAAGGTAGTCCAGATAAGGGAAAATCCGGATAATCGAAACAAATACTTTAGTTTGTCTTTTAATGATAATATAACACGTTTTCTTTTCGATGACATATCGGTAATATTAAAAGTAAATACTGTATTTAAATCGCGATCAAATTTTCAAGAAACAAACGTTCGTATTAAACTTGGACTACTACTGACCAACGCTAACAGACTACGTATTGTTTAAAAGGCCCTCTGGTGCCGCAAGAAGACGGATTTTATAAAATAAAAAGCAGTTGAAACTGCATTTTTATGAATAAAAATTTGACAAACTATTTATCGTTTTATGACGAGTAAAATTTTTTCGTCGCGTTCGCGGCTTTTAAGTAATGCATAAACCTTCGAGGCGCGAGGCCCTTCGGACCGCGAGGCATAGGCGGTGGCCCACGTCGTCCATGCCTTACGCCGCCCTTGGTCATAGAAATGATGTAATTTGAATATAAATTATTTATAAATACGTATGTCAAGTTATATTTTTATTACTACGTAAAATATATTTAAGAGTTTACTACCACTGTGCTGGGTGAGACGTTGTTGAAACAAAAAAAGTTATGCATTCCATCACGTACATAAACAGTGTCGTAATTCGCCAAGTGCAAATCAGCAAATTCGTAAAATTTTTAGTATATTTTGAGCAATCCGGATAATCGAAAATCCGGATAATGGAGGTCCGGATAATGGAGGTTCTACTGTATTCGATCATTGTAATCATTATTTTGTTGTTATTTTTGTTTATTAACTTTCTCCGCCCTTTTCAACTTAGAAGCCCTCCAAAAAATAGTAAGCCAATCTAACGATTGTGCGTCAGTAAGTGACATAGAAAGATTCTATGCCCTTGGCTTCTCACATATAGCCTAAAGGATTCATTTTATTTTTAAATTAGTCGCTTATTTTTGACACAGAAAATGTTTTCATTAATGACAAAATAAAATTATTGTTACTAACCGAAAATTAGTTTTAACAGATTGCGATTGTTCTATTGAGACCGAGATACCACTCTATTTGATTCACGCGATTTTCACGTATGGGGGAGCATCGATTAATTAACCATTAGTCAAGAATTCCTGTATTATAATATATACAGTCAAACCTCGGGCTTCGAAGTTAACTTGTTTCGAAAGGTTGTTCGACAATCTAATTTTTCTAAATATTATATAAAAAAAAGTTTCTATAACAAGCAATATAAAGAGGATTAATCCGTTCCCCACCTCCAAAACGAAAACTTATTTTTACTTTTTTAATTGCATTTCACGCAAACATTTCAAATATTCTTTTCGAATAAAATTACATCTGTCTCACTATGCAAAACGTCACCGGAAGAAAGTCCCCTAACCTTTTGCATAATGAAGCTGATGTAATTAACCTTTTATTAGACCTTTTATTAGAGATAAACCTCTAATAAAAGGTCAACTCTGCCGTAAAATAAACTGTAATTTTTTTGAGGGGTTAGAAAGCACATCAAAGAACTCGTTATTATGTAGTCTTAAAGTGTATATTAATTTTATATTATCTGAATTTTAAAGATTTTTGGACTAGAATTTGATTCCTTTCATTTCCCCATCTCCGTTACCATTAATTACCAAAATTTAATAGTATCAATTCCTTTAACGAAGAAAGCTCCCTGCCAAATTTCAGAGACTTCCGAGAAAAAGCTCAAGAGTTATTAACAGCTTCAAAGAAAATGAACAATAACTTGCCCCACACACTGACATCCACACATAATAACCCCTCAACAACAATAACCCCTCGAATTTTTTTTTATTTCACGACGTTTCAAGTGTCCTACGTCTAACAATTTAAAAACTACGAGGGCCATTCTTTGACCGATCATCATACTTTTTGTCAGTTATATATAAAATTCAGAAAAGTATAAAGTAATCTTCGCAAAAACATCGTTACAGTGTGCCTCTTTGTACGAGTGTCCTTAGAAAAGCATCGAAATCGTTTTTTGAATTGTTTGTCTGGGTGACCGTTACCTTATTGTTAGAAGATATTTTATGAAAACTAAAATGAATTGAAAAGTTTTATAAATATTTATTATCTTAATTTATTCGAGATATTTTTTATTTGAAAATAATTTATATCCTAAAAAATTATTAGGTGCAGAAATTTCTTGCTTTAGATAAACTGGAGGAAAAAGTGGAAACACTTAAATAAACTGTAACGTAAAAAGAAAAACCTTTTCAAAATAATTTCAGTGTTATATTATTTCAAACTGTCATGTACCAAAATATTAAGACAAATATCCATCAAGAAATTAATTAATTCTAGTACTATATTAATGATAAAAATATTAAAAACTCGTTTTGGTGTTATATTATTTCATACAATTATTGTAATTTTAATTTATTGTATAGTAATTTAATCAAAAAATTAATTTTGTAATCTGAAATAATTCCATTCAACAAATTTTTATTTTCAATTTTAATTTAATCGACATCTGAAATTAATTTTGTGCTTAGTGCTACTCAAACCACCACTACTCAAGTACAGTACCATTGAAAACATTGAATTGTTAATTATTGCGATTGTCATTATTCGAAATGACTGCTAACAATGAAGAAATGAAAATGGCATTTACATTAAAGTTAAACTTTTTAGGTCAAACATTGCAGATGGCATTTTTCACGCTCACATATAATGGAAATCATAATAAACGAACGTCAGGTAATACCAATTACTGTAGCACCATTGCGGCATGACTGTGAATCCAGAATATTTATAGAGTTGTAAGATTTGTAGACAGAACACGTAAAGACGTTTATCACTTATTCATTAATAATAGTACTTTTATAAAAAAGTAATAGTGAAAAAATAACAATTATTAAATACATTTATCTCTATTTTTCGATTAAGCAGAAATTACAATGAATGAGCATCAACATTAAAACTAAACATTCTGGCAGCACATCGAAAATCAGAGCAATAATTCCAATTGTAGCCGCTACTAAAAATGTGACAAATTCCTGATGCTCATCCCAAACTAGTTATTTGGGGTTGTTATTATAATGTGTGGAGCACAATACCCTACTGTTCCCTACTGAAGAACAAAAAATATAAATGACTTTTCTTTTATACTTCATAAATTACAGCATTCATTATAAAATATGCAAATTAAAATGTTCACTAATTTGATCATTAGTGACGTCATACTGAAACTGAATAATGCTGAGAATTTCAAAGCATATTATTGTTCACGTTTTTTTCCATTCATTATCTTCATAGCATAGAACGTTCTAAACGTCAAATATTCTATAAAATTAGCATAAACTGCATACAATATGAGTGATGAACACTATACAATTCTGTTTAGATCTTCCCAGATAACTTTAAAGAAATGTTGAACGTAAATAAAAAAAAATTAATTTCGAATTTAAATTTGAAAAACATCAGTATTTCGATACTTTTAATGGAGTCTGGTTGTCTGTCAGTTATTCCAGGCTTTTCATTTTTATAATTCAGGTCAACTGTACAGAGTAATACGACCAATTTACATATTTCAGCAAACAAAATTGAAGTATCATGTGTCGTACAATAGATTCATTAAAGGAACTTCTATGTATAGAAACGTTATATTTAAAATTTTTACAGAGCTTAATGTAAGATCCGCGAGATCGTCTTTAATTAATATAAAATAATTTTAAATTATCATTATCGAGGATAACATTTTAAACAAAGAAAGGGTGTGCCATCCGTTAATTTCGGAGAGAAGAGATGTTAAACGTTCTTTAGACAGCAGACTCGCTGATGAATCAGTTTTGTACACGGGGCAGGAGACCCGATTGGAGAGCCGTCTATAAATAGGGACTTTTTCCCACCAATCGAGGTAGTCATTCAGAGAAAGATTACCATACAATTTGGCAGTTCATAAGAAGAAGTTGCCATATAATTTATACAATGCCTTCGTCGACTGCACTTACTCGCTACTCTTTTTCTCGAAATTCCTCACAAATACGCGATAGTCTGCAATTTCACTATTTGGTGTCAGAAAAAAACAACGTCCTGGAGTTCACAATAATAGTAATAATAAATGTCTTAAGAAGCCATCCTTAGACGACCGCGAGCCTGTTTCTCTAACAGCACAGTCGATTAAGCAGTACATGAGTTTTACCAACTTCGTATCCCTGGCTAGCCCCTCACATTTATATTCAAGAGATTTTTATAAATCTAAATTTAGGCTAATAAACGAGTTAATTGGGTCCTGTCTGTCTTTCGGATCAAGTTGGCTAGATTCATTGATAGAAAAATAAACATATGATATCATTTTTTTATAATTAAAAATTAAATGATTTCGTACGAAAAAATTCATAATGCTTATGTATTCTGTAAACTGTACATCACATAATAAAGATATTTCAAATGAAAGTATTATATTTTATTTTATTTAATTGCAATTAATAATTTTCACAATATATCAGTTGATAAAGAGTAAAAGACGTTTTTTCTATTTTTTTATCTTCTCTATATTCAGGAAGATATTTTGTGCTGCATGATTTATTAGGAAGGGGCCAAGTCGGTGTACTTTCGGGCAAACCTGCGCACCAGCATGCAAAACAATAGCCTTTAATACAATAGTTTTGCCTACAATAGCCGCAACCACCTCCGTGGTTCTTCGATTTGCATTCGCTTTCGCAGTAACGACTTGGTCCCGATATCAAACAATCGTATTTGCAGCCCGTCTCCCTGTCCACCAGATAACCTTTCTTTGCCCACACTGTACCTGCAACAAATACAAAGAAATATTCATGTTCAACCGTAAGAAGTAATACTTATTAATTGAATACAATTAAATTAAAATATTTAATGCTTTGCACTCAACGTGTGTCAAAAAGTACATTATTATTGTATCACATGAACTATAAAAACTGAAAATAGTCATGATTATAAATATGCTATTTTAAACACTAGGAAGATGGTGTGTCATTCGTAACCTTGTATTTATCAGCGACTTATCTAGCCAGGAAAACAACATTATAATGAAAATCTTGAAGATGCAATTTCTTGTAAATCTGAATTTATGATGTTATTCTATTAACTCACTTCTCTCAAGTCAACGGATAGATTGACTGCAAATTCATAGACAATTCTATAAATCAAATAGCACTAAACTAAAAATATTGCCAACATATTCATACTTAAATAAAAACACCATCACTGGTCAAGTAGCAACACTATTAAACTGATTTACTTTACACGTCTTACTCTTAAATAGAGATTAAAGTTCTAGAGTAATAGAGATAGAAATTAAAATAATAGAGATTAGTGACCCTAGAATATCCCCTTGAAAAAAATACCTTCTTAGAAGATTGCCCTTGTGTTGCATTGCCATCCATCAATAGAATGCAGATCTCATAATACGTAAATAATTTAACTTTAATAGAATTTATGGCATTTCGATCAATTTAATACAAATCGTTCTAATTTCTAAAACACTACAATGAGTTTATCTGAACTTTTATAATTTTTCAACGAAATATTTCTGTAAATATGAATTTCGATTTAAGTCATATATGAAAGAACAAGCTATTATCTGCGAGTGTTTTCATTTCCACAAAAAATACAATATAATGTAATAAATATAACGCGAATTTCATAACTTTTTAATAAATTATGTCATTTAAAAAATTAAAAACCAGTTTAATCAATTAGAAGTTCATACTCACCGATCAGGACCAAACAAGCAGTGATCATCAACAACAAGTTCATCTTCGAAGCTATTTAAACGAGTTTAGAATGAGTTACCACGAGCAGAAGTAGATATTTACTATAACGTACCGTGGGTGTCAGCCGCCCGGGGCAGAGGAAAATTTCGGCCCCCCTTATTTAGGTATTTCAATTTATAAGACCAAAATACAGTTTTGTCACAGAACAAGCAATAAAAAATTCGGTGGTAGTGCAGCAACCTGTTTAAAATAGTTCTGTTAAAATCAACAGGTTTCGCAGAAACTCCTCGAATGAAAAAGTTACTAGTTCACTTGGCGAACCAATTCCCGGACTGTCCGAACGATAGCACTATCGTAGGCGCGATGCAAGTATAGATTAGGATGTTTCAAAATTTTACAAAATATTATTATTATTTATTGTAAAATTTTGCCGCCTCCTAAAAAGTGCAGCCCGGGGCAGGCCGCCCCTGCAGCCTCCCACGGTATGCCACTGGGTATTTATATACATCGAATGCGTACTGATACAACGCGTACACGTGGATTTTGCATGCTCGATCCATCTGTTTCCACCAATTATAACAACATCAATGAGCACACAGAGAGACATTAATAAACAGAGAGGTCACATTTTTTCAAATTTCTCTATTTGCAGAAGGAATTAAATTCGTATCGATTACAGAAATGTTTATGTGAAATATAAATAAATACAAAAATGTCATTAAATTTTTAAAAATAAAAATCACTTATTTTACTTTAAGTTAAACAAATTCTTGGACCTCTTCCCAATCATTTACATATTTCATGTTTAGAGGCATGTAATAATATCTCGTGATTTTCTCGTTTGATCGACACCACTAACCTATCCTCTATTAGGACTTTTTTCAAAGTCTGCATACATGAAGTATTTCACGTAATTATTGACAAAGATTCTTAAGAACAAATCAATTTGCGATTTCTAATCGAAATGGTACTTTGTTACAATGAAAATGAAGATTTAAACATTGAATCTCTTCCTGTAAAAAACTTCAAACTTCTCTATTAAGTGTTGCAGTTTATGTATTGGGTTGTTCGGAAAGTAAGTTCGCTTTTTTTTTTACCACTAGATGGATTAGTGGTATTTTTCCCGCCATTTTCGTTCTAAACCGTATTATCATTATACATTTTGACAGCTAGCATTTTAAGGCTTATTTCTAAAAGTATTTTGTGTGATTTCGTGCAATTGTTTATTTTTTGTGTCCCATCAAATATGGAAGATCGAAAGCAGCATCTTCGGCATATTTTGCTTTTTTATTACCAAAAAAATATTTTGCTTTTTTATTACCAAAAAAATAAAAATGCCGTTCAAGCAAGAAAAAAATCGTGTGACATGTATGGTGGAGATGTGTTGAGAGAAAGACAGTGCCAAAACTGGTTTACAAAATTTCGTTCTCGCAATTTCGAATTGTAGATGCACCGCGTTATGGATGGCCAATTGAAGCTAATGAAAAGAAAATAAAAGTACCGATTGAAGCAAACTGCGGAATAACAACACGTGAAATCACTAAGAGATTAAATTTGTCAAATTGAACTGTTTATGAGTACTTGAAACAAATTGGTTTCGTTTCAAAGCTCGATATATGAATTCCACGTATTCTTAAAGAGAAATGCTCTATTTGGTGGGATTTTAAGGAAATTTTTTTGGAGCTTTTACTAGACAATTTAACAATTGATTCGAAAGTGTACTGCATTGGAGTAAACAAATTGCGTAATATCATCAAACAGAAAAAGCCAGCCAGAATTGATTAAAAAAAAACAGCTGTAGTGTTTTATCACAATAATGTCAAATTTCACACAAGTTTTGGTAACTCGTCAGAAACTGTTTTAACTTAGATGGGCCGTGCTATCACACCAACCGTATTCGCCAGATCGAGCACACTCAGATTATTACTTGTTCCGGTCTGTACAATTTTTTTTTAACTTTATGACATTTACTTGAAATGACAATGTCAAAAATCACTTGGATCGGTTTTTTGTAAGCAACGATCAAAAGTTTTATGAATGAATGAATAATTTTTCAAAGAAAAAGAAATTTTTTAAAATATTGCAAATGCCAATCAGAAATAAAAATCTACATTAAGTTCGTCTTCACTCGAGATATAGGCCTACCATATGACCCCTGTCCATCTCCCCGCTCTCTGTTGTTCTGATGAATCAATACTTCTGACTTACTGTCATTTATTCTACATAAACTGCAACACTTAATAGAGAAGTTTGAAGTTTTTTACAGGAAGAGATTCAATGTTTAAATCTTCACTTTCATTGTAATAAAGTACCATTTCGATTAGAAATCGCAAATTGATTTGTTCTTAAGAATCTTTGTCAATAATTACGTGAAATATTTCATGTATGCAGACTTTGAAAAAAGTCCTAACAGAGGATAGGTTAGTGGTGTCGATCAAACGAGAAAATCACGAGATATTATTACATGCCTCTAAACATGAAATATGTAAATGATCGTGAAGTGGTCCAAGAATTTGTTTAACTTAAAGTAAAATAAGTGATTTTTATTTTTAAAAATTTAATGACATTTTTGTATTTATTTATATTTCACATAAACATTTCTGTAATCGATACGAATTTAATTCCTTCTGCAAATAGAGAAATTTGAAAAAATGTGACCTCTCTGTTTATTAATGTCTCTCTGTGTGCTCATTGATGTTGTTATAATTGGTGGAAACAGATGGATCGAGCATGCAAAATCCACGTGTACGCGTTGTATCAGTACGCATTCGATGTATATAAATACCCAGTGGCATACCGTGGGAGGCTGCAGGGGCGGCCTGCCCCGGGCTGCACTTTTTAGGAGGCGGCAAAATTTTACAATAAATAATAATAATATTTTGTAAAATTTTGAAACATCCTAATCTATACTTGCATCGCGCCTACGATAGTGCTATCGTTCGGACAGTCCGGGAATTGGTTCGCCAAGTGAACTAGTAACTTTTTCATTCGAGGAGTTTCTGCGNAAGTACCATTTCGATTAGAAATCGCAAATTGATTTGTTCTTAAGAATCTTTGTCAATAATTACGTGAAATATTTCATGTATGCAGACTTTGAAAAAAGTCCTAACAGAGGATAGGTTAGTGGTGTCGATCAAACGAGAAAATCACGAGATATTATTACATGCCTCTAAACATGAAATATGTAAATGATCGTGAAGTGGTCCAAGAATTTGTTTAACTTAAAGTAAAATAAGTGATTTTTATTTTTAAAAATTTAATGACATTTTTGTATTTATTTATATTTCACATAAACATTTCTGTAATCGATACGAATTTAATTCCTTCTGCAAATAGAGAAATTTGAAAAAATGTGACCTCTCTGTTTATTAATGTCTCTCTGTGTGCTCATTGATGTTGTTATAATTGGTGGAAACAGATGGATCGAGCATGCAAAATCCACGTGTACGCGTTGTATCAGTACGCATTCGATGTATATAAATACCCAGTGGCATACCGTGGGAGGCTGCAGGGGCGGCCTGCCCCGGGCTGCACTTTTTAGGAGGCGGCAAAATTTTACAATAAATAATAATAATATTTTGTAAAATTTTGAAACATCCTAATCTATACTTGCATCGCGCCTACGATAGTGCTATCGTTCGGACAGTCCGGGAATTGGTTCGCCAAGTGAACTAGTAACTTTTTCATTCGAGGAGTTTCTGCGAAACCTGTTGATTTTAACAGAACTATTTTAAACAGGTTGCTGCACTACCACCGAATTTTTTATTGCTTGTTCTGTGACAAAACTGTATTTTGGTCTTATAAATTGAAATACCTAAATAAGGGGGGCCGAAATTTTCCTCTGCCCCGGGCGGCTGACACCCACGGTACGTTATAGTAAATATCTACTTCTGCTCGTGGTAACTCATTCTAAACTCGTTTAAATAGCTTCGAAGATGAACTTGTTGTTGATGATCACTGCTTGTTTGGTCCTGATCGGTGAGTATGAACTTCTAATTGATTAAACTGGTTTTTAATTTTTTAAATGACATAATTTATTAAAAAGTTATGAAATTCGCGTTATATTTATTACATTATATTGTATTTTTTGTGGAAATGAAAACACTCGCAGATTATAGCTTATTTTTTTATATATAACTTAAATCGAAACTCATATTTACAGTCGACCCCCCTATAACACGGTAGATACGTTCCGTTCTTTACGAATCGATTTCTTACGAGTCCTTGCCAATCACAGCCCGACACGTGTGAAGTTTACGGACTACGGCTGTTTGAAAGGTTTTCTTCCATAAAATTAATCGATTCTAGACTAATTCGACTCAACATTTCCAAAATACGTATATATTTTTTTTGGGAATAATCAGTATAAACTACGCTATAAACAAATAATTGTAGGATTACTTACCGAGTGTGCACCGTTCGACGTCGCCATTGCTCAAACTTGTTTTCGTCGCGGAGCAGCGCACCAAACCGTGGCCGCGATTTCTGATAAGTTATTTTTCTGCGAAAACTTTGTTGAACTTTGGAGACATCATTAATATAAATAATTTTTATGTCCGATGAATAAGAAATGTTTTTTCACAAGAAATGTATAAAATTACAGTACTGTATTATACTTACGGTACCTAATTTACATACTGTACAGACGTGCTGCTAAATATCCAGATGGCACAANAGAAATGTTTTTTTCACAAGAAATGTATAAAATTACAGTACTGTATTATACTTACGGTACCTAATTTACATACTGTACAGACGTGCTGCTAAATATCCAGATGGCACAAAGCACTGATTGGTCAGCTGAATGAAGTCAACCCACCGAAGTATAGATTATATTTTGTGGTCGTCAGAACGAATCATGACGAAATAGATTATTTTTTTAAGTTGTCGTAATATGGAGTGAGTATGAAGTGAAAATACAGCTGATTATTTTTTTTGAACATTTAACTTAATACTTGATCTTTTTGCACCTCTGAACCAAATCGTCCTCAATTGATCATTTTAATAGTGCGATTAGTGTTGTAAATTTACGTGCACAGATAG